ACGGATTTACAGATAATGATCTCAAAACAGTTCTCGCCAAAAAATCTCAATAGTGTTAACCTATTTAAAACGCATCAAGTTTTGCAACTCTATTTAATGTCATATTTCTTGTATTTGTTTTGTATTAAAATAAAAAAAAATCATTAAAATAAATTTAAATTTTAACAAATTAAAACATTTCTTTTAGTTGGCCTTGTTCAAGTATTTTTTAGCGTTGAGGTTCAAACTGCATTTTTAGTAAAAAACAAAACAAGCAAACACAATCTTCAGAGAACCGTTTGCCGAAATAAATTACTTTATGTTAATGCAGACATTAATATTACTTCAGCAATATAAATTACTTGCAGACTTTAAAGTAAACCCTTTAATTAGTATCCGATTCTAATGAGACCATTCCACATCCCCCAAAATGTCTTTTTAAAACAAAAGTGTTTTTGTGTTAATCTCTTTGATTGCTCGCTCGAGTCTCTTAATTTAAAAAAGAATAGCCGAAGAGGAATATCCTGATTTAAAATCGTAAGGGAAAACGAGCCGAAACCGCGGAAAGTTTGTTGACGTTTCACTTCTTTTGCCATTTGACTCGGATTTTGCTTTTTAATGTTCTACAGTCTGCTTTCTTTTCTTGGTGTATTTGCAGTTTTTAAGCTGAGGTGATATTTAAGTTTAGAGCTTAACTTTTGAATGTCTAGCTCTTATTTTTCTCGAGAGATAATGATGAGTTTTACTCCCTTAAATTTCAGACTTTGTCGAAGATTTTAAAAATAATAATATAATATGTTTGATAGAATATTGTTCTGAAGCTATTTTCTTGTGGCATTGTAAATTAATTACTATTTATAACTGGGAATAAGCCACAATTAAAGATAAAAATACGTTTATTGACGTTTCAATTTCCAATTCGGAAATCGTTCTCAAAATACAAACAGTAAATTAAACAAATTTTGTTTTTTGTTACATAGTGAAAAAATTCTTCTAATAATTTAATTTTATCTGACTCATTTATATTGACAATTCAGACATACATTATGCATTTTAAAGTAGACGACTTTAAAATGATATTGCCAATATTGTTGAGTTGCGCTCCTGGGACGACTTTACTTATAAGATAGTTCATTCGATTACATGAAATCAACTTTAACTTGAGAATATTTTATTTACTAATGTGCCATTAAATAAAACTTTAAGAATAGTCAAGACAAAATTAGAGAGTGATGATTCATTGGCAACTAGAACAAGACTAAACATATCGGCTATAATGGAGTTATTAACATTATGTACTGATAATACATATTTTCAACTAAATAATGAATTCTATAATCAAAATGTTGGTCTAGCAATGGGCTCTAGTTTATCTCCATTCTTAGCCGATATATTTATGGAAGATTTTGAAACAAATATCATTTCTAAACAAAATTTCAAACCCACAGTATGGTGGAGGTATGTAGATGATGTATTCTCAATATGGCCTCATGGATCAGAGTTGTTGGACACATTCCTAAACGATATAAACGATAAAGAAGAGACAATAACATTTACCATGGAAAAGGAATATAATAACACGCTACCTTTCCTGGATGTTTTAATCTCTAAGAACGATACTGGATATGAGACTCAGGTGTATAGAAAACCAACACACACCAATAGATATTTAAATTTCAAATCAAATCACAATATTAATGTAAAAAAGGGAATAATTAAATCCTTATACGATAGAGCCAAAATTACTTGTTCTAACGAAAATTCGTTCTTGGAGGAGAAACATTTGTTAACATCTGTTTTATTAAAAAATGATTATCCTTTATCGTTTATAAATAAGGAATTTTCAACAATCGATCGAATAGAACAGAACAACTTAGAACGAGATCCTACAGCATACACAAGGAATAATATGAGGAAAATAACAATACCGTACATAAAAGGATTATCAGAAAAACTTAAAAGGATAGGAAATAAATTCAACATTTCAACAACATTCAAAACAACAAACACGTTGAGATCTATTTTGTCCAAAACCAAACCTAACAATGAACAAGAAAGGACAAAGAATTGCATTTATAAAATACCTTGTGAATGCGATCAGTTTTATTTAGGTGAATCATCAAGGCCATTAAATGTTAGAATAAGTGAACATCAATCTTATATTAAAAATAGAGAATTTGATAGATCTCAAATATGTAAACACGCATGGGATAATGAACATAGGGTTCAATGGAATAATTCAAATATAGTCCTAAAAGAAACGGATGGTAAAAAAAGAAAAATCAAAGAAGCGGCTCTAATTATGCTAAATGAGGCCAATTGTGTCGCAAATTCCTCGGCAGAATGTAGTAGGATCTGGTTACCAATATTGAAAGAGGAAGTTATTAATAAGAAAATACCAGTATTAGTAAGTCAGTAACATATAGAGGATACATCATTTATGTTTTTTAAATAACGTAACATATAAAATCAGAATTTTGATGTTTGTTGAAGGTAAACTAAATTCACGAACAAATACTTACAATGTCGGGATAGTATTATGAGGTTTTTTTCCTGGTTTTTCCCTCATAATTTACTATGGAATCACTAACAGGAGAATTTTACTGTCATCATGTCATGTGTTTGTCTTTTTAAAGACGAATTACATGCTATGATTTTTTCTGACGGATATTCTCAAGTTAAAGTTGATTTCATGTAATCGAATGAACTATCTTATAAGTAAAGTCGTCCCAGGAGCGCAACTCAACAATATTGGCAATATCATTTTAAAGTCGTCTACTTTAAAATGCATAATGTATGTCTGAATTGTCAATATAAATGAGTCAGATAAAATTAAATTATTAGAAGAATTTCTTCACTATGTAACAAAAAACAAAATTTGTTTAATTTACTGTTTGTATTTTGAGAACGATTTCCGAATTGGAAATTGAAACGTCAATAAACGTATTTTTATCTTTAATTGTGGCTTATTCCCAGTTATAAATAGTAATTAATGTTTGATAGAAATTAGCAATTTTATTTTAATATTAGTTAATTTGTTATTTTTAGAAAAGTTAATGATTAAAATTAAATTAAAAGTTTTAAATTAAATAAAAATTAAATTTAAATTAAAAGTTTAAAATTTGTAAATATAATAATTATTAGTGTTGTCTAATATTAAAACACTGAAAAAACTTAAAAAATGGTGTACTCATGAAGTCTATATACCCATTAGAAGCAGAGGTTGTAGCTCATGAAAAGTAGGTTTTTATTTGTCAAATTCCAAATTGAATAGTTCCCATTAATGCACACCGCCAAGAGAGAAACTAGAAAAACCTAAATCGTTTAGTAGTTGCTTTTAATTATAATCATAATTATATAAAAAAATATTTTGTATATTTTTTAAAGTTGACTTTTGAAAAAAAAATGGTGTATCCAACCAGGTACACTGAGACAAACAGAATAACATATATATAACAAATTTATACGTAACCAACAGCAATATTGAACATAAAAATTTATACAGACTAAAGAAACATTTAATAAAAATACATACATATACATAAAAACTCGTATTTAAGTATGAGTAAAATATTTTGAAACACACTCTCTCTACTCAGTGCAATGAATTACATTGAACTTTTTACACATCCATCTTACTCTCATCTGGTATTAGCGACATCTTCGAGGGTTCGTGGTTCTTTTAGGAAAATGGCCCACCAGATGGTTTGATAGATGGGGATCGTCTTTTTATGGCTTTGTTTAAAGCTCTGTAGTAATGGTGCACAACGTTGCTTTAAAATGGTACCAAATCTATTTTCTCATTTTCATTTGTAATCCTATATAGTTTCCACGCATTGGAACAAAACAAAAGGAAATGATCCCTAGGTAGGTAAGAAAATTTTTAAATCCCACACCTCAAAGGTCTGCCTCACGGTATCTGAGAGAGTCAATAATTCGCTTTTGATTGATAAAAACCCACCAAGACGAGCACAACATAAATCAAAAAATCCGTCAAACTGTCAATAGGGATATACAATATTAGATCAATGTCCACAGACAAAAAAGTACATGAACTGGAAGAAGAATTAACAAACATAAAATGGAATATCATAGGCCTATCAGAAACTCGACGAAAAGAAGAAAACCGAATACAGCTAAAATAAAGCTATTTATAATAAATAAAGCTATAAGTAAGCATGTGATACTTTGATGAATCACCTAGAAGAAAAGCATCTATACGCAATGAACTCCTTTTACAAAAAGAAGCCCTAAGAAAGTGGACATGGATCAGCTCTAATGGATCCACAAAAAATGAGATCGACTTCATACTGTCCACGGAACGATATATCATTAAAGATGTAACAGTTCTTAACAGAGTCACAACAGGTAGCGATCACAGGATGGTCAGAGCAAAAATTAGTATTGACGGTAACTATGAGATGAAAAGAAAAATAAGTAGAAACTGGGATCTAGTAGATAGAAACAAACTAGGGCAATATAAAGAGATATACAAAGACCTATTAAAAGAACAACTTACCCAAAAATTAGACAGTGATGATAAAGATATGGACGAAATAGACAACATACTTACAGCAACAATGATTACATCAGGAAAAAAATAGCAAAAAAGATCTAAAAAAGAACAACTATATATCAACAGAAACAAAGAAGCTTATGGATAAAAGAAGAAAGCTGAACGAAGGAGGCAAAAGGAAATCTATAGAATATGTAGAAATCAATAAAACAATAAGCAGAATGATAAAAGAAAATAAGAGAAAAGAACAAGAAATAAAAATAGAAAAAGTAATACAGAACAACAAAAATATGAAATGTTTAAGGCCGAAATTAGGTAAGTTTGAAATAAACCAAATAAAAGATGTAAATGGAGTAGAAACAAACGGTAAAGATAACATCATAAATATAATCTACCATTTCTACTCAGAATTATATAAAACAAAAAAGGAACCACCAGAAGAAATTAAAAACCAACTTAAAGTTAAGAAATAAGCAAATCAGAAATAAAGAAGGCATTGAAAGAAATGAAAAACAACAAATCGCCTGGAAAATATGGAATAACTACAGAGATGCTGAAATATGGTGGAAAAGTGGTAATTAACACTCTACATTCCCTTTTTAATAAGATATTAAAAGAAAAAAGAATCCCAAACAACTGGAAGGAATCAGTTACCATTATCCTACACAAGAAAGGGGATAAAGCAGATAGAAAAAACTACCATCCTATAACACTCCTCAATGTTTTGTATAAACTTCTAACAAAAATTTTAACCAATAGATTGACGACAAAATTCGATGGATACCATCGAATTTGTCGTCAATCGAAAGAACAAGCTGGTTTTATAAAGGGATTTAGCACAAGTGACCATTTACTAAGTAAGAAAATACTTACAGAACGAGCAAATGAATACCACATTCCGCTATCCACAAGGAATCTTCGTTCCTGTAGTTGGCTGTATACCATATATTAAAAAATTTAATAAAAATCCTTTGTAAAAGGTATATATTTAGACCCAAACGGGCTAAGTTAAAAAGACAAAACGTTTTCGGAATCCATATTCCATCATCAGTGTCTAAGAGTACATGAATGTAGCCACTAAATACATGGGTAAAAACCCGTTAACAAATAATTAATTACATTTAGTTTACAAATTTTCCTATAATGGTTTAGGATGTTAAAGTTACCGTTGGATTAGGTAACATGGCGACATATGACTCCACGTTGAAGTTGCTAGTCTTGAGACAGTGTGTCTACGAAGACTGTATGGGAGCAACTTGCTTCCCGTGCAAAAAGTTGCTCCCATACAGTCTTCGTAGCCACACTGTCTCAAGACTAGCAACTTCAACGTGAAGAACTCAATGATGACTTCAAGTTCTCCGGAAAGATATTATAAGAATTTGGATTGTCGTGGTTATATCAGGAAGAGTCATCATGGAAAAAAAATATCATTTTATTTAAAAAATTATATTATATTACTATATAAAATAAGTATAAGTGTTACGAAATAATATCTTATAAAAGTAAACAAATGTAGGTTTCGCTTTTCTGAACATTTTGGTTTTTATTTTGTTTGTCTGTTAGACAAAAATTGATTAAAATATGACTGTTAAAACTTTGCATATACTCATGATTAGTGACTCGTTTAAACTCTTTTAACTACAACCGTTTTAAAAATAAGGGTTTAAAAAAACTAATGTAATTGATCTTATTGCCCTTAAACCTAAAAAATGTTTTTTTAGTAACAATAAA